AACCGGCAGCAAAAAAATTTCGAAAGGCTGTAGCACCTCTTAGATATGGACAAGTTGAGGGGGATCATTAATCCTCAGTTCAAAAATGAGGTTGTTCATCTAAAGAATTATTAATCAGCATTTATATGATGACGGTTACAGACTGAGCAATCAATGAAGGCGAATGTCCTCCTATCTGTCTAAGACCCTAGTCCTTCCTTCTCTGAGGCCCACTGTACTTTGCATATTTTACTTCGTCACAACATGGGTTACTTTGGGTACTTTTGATCAAAAGTTTTACACGGTTTAGACTGTTCCAGTTTTGCGCGTTCGACCGTATAGGTGAATGTTCGTAAAAACAGAGAACTCCTCTTCGTTTGAATAAATAGTAATATATTCACTCATTGAATAAGGTCTTAAATTATTAATATCCTGTCAGTTGACTTTTTCGAACTTTACTGTCGGTGTTAAGGAGTACCAGAATAGCCAGAGTAAATACTGCCGCTCTGGCATGGAAGACCATGCAATAATTTTAAATCTGTTATTCACGACAATGAAAGATTCATGGTGATGAAGTTTAACTTAGAGTAGCGAATGACAGAAGCATCTGCAGCACACACTTACCAAATCAAGACCGTTGACCGTTTCCAAAACGTTATGGAGGAGATCCGGAAAATTACGTTTCCATTTTTCATACTAAAGATTTAAAAAATATCTTGATATACGTCACCAAACGACAATATAACATTAGGCATATATCGGGGATAGAAAGCTCTATTCCAACAGTTAACAACGGTAAGCAAAGATGAAAGACTTTTATTAGATAAGGCATACAGTTCAAAGAGCTTTGATCCTAGGCTTGAATAAATAATTATTTGGGGGGGGGGTCATGAAAAGTAAGTTGACTGTTTCAGGGGTCAAATATGAATTACAGCGTTTCAAAGCTCGATACCCAAATTGGATTCTTTAAGGAGAAAAAAAAGAAAAAAAAAGAAAGCATGCCGCGGAGCCTTAAGAAAAATGCGACTACTAGTGTGAACTTTACGAAAACAAAGAAAATTTACAATCGAAAGAGCTGTTCAACGGGACGAAATAATATTACCGAATTTATTCACAATATCCCTAGAAGTTGTGATCAAGACACTGAGGCACTACTTCGGAAAAAACACGGAGTGGGCATAAAACACTGAACAGAAACCAGCACTACTCAAGCCAGTTGCGATCTTTGGGCGAGATTCTGATTCTCTCAAAGTCAGTGCAAAAATTCCAAAGAAGAATTCAAGAACTGAACGACCTCAGCAACAAAGTAAGAATGAAAGTTAACCTAGAGAAGGTCCAGGCTACGTTTAACAACCACGTAAACCCGTGACCTGCTGTAAACAGATTTATGCTCGAAGAGGGTCAAAACAACGTCTAACTGGTACAACTCACTGCTCACCTCTGTAACGGAGAATCAACCTGCAATGAACAGAAAAATAAGAATGGTATAGATCATTTTCGGGAGACAGAAAAAGTTCCCATGCCTTTATGCTTGAAATTCTTATTCATAAACTACAGACTAACCAAAATTAAAAGATGCCTGTTGGGAATAACAACAAAAGATAAGACGACCAATAAACCGGGTAAAAACACAAACAAGTGCCTGCAATGTCATGTCACTGTCAATGCTTAAATGAAAGAATCAAAAAAGTAAAATGAACAGAAGACGTTGCAAAAAAAGAATCAACCATCGTTAGACCAGAGAGACAGTAGAGTAGATTCTAGGAAAAACTAAGCCACCCGCAGGAAGACCTTTAGATGAATGACAAAATGAAATGAAAATTTCGTCAGATTAAGAAGGATAAGCATCGCAAAAAATAGACATCCATGAAAAAAATTTGAAGCATATTCCATCAAGGAATGGACCGTAAATGGATGATAATTATGGTATTATGATGAAGCTCTTACATCAAACACCGAGGCAGCATCCTGCGCCAAAGATATATAACATTACGGGCTGAATCACGTATATGATGAAACTCTGAGCACTGTCAGAATATATTTTTAATGCAACAACCGTAAGACCCAGCAATCCATATCCAATCGGCTGAGTCAGAGACCTTAGAAAGTTAAAATGAAGGAAACTAGTAAACGTTGGTCTACCTTACACTTTCGTAATTGGGCAATTTCTAACGAACTTTTACTGTTTAGTTAATGGTGGAACACTGATCAGCATTTCCATTTCATCAGCCAAGAGTGTGTCATATTTTTAAAGGCAGAGTCGACAACAGCTGTGGCAAGCGCCGTAGATAACCTCCTATTTTTATCCCATATAGTGGTATAGATTTATCAACCTCAGAAACAAGACGAGTTATCAGACTGAGTTCGAATCCGGACCTTTTGGTACTGAGTCTGAAGAACTAATGATGGAGCAAACCCTGCGGATGACACAGAAATGACAGACACCCTGAAAATGACGGAGAGGAACACTCTGTCAAAAGTACCATAATTAGATGCTAATATCGAAACTATAATGATAATTATAATGATAATCGACATGAAAAATAATATGAACTTTCTTTTGTTGCTCAAAACGTCCGAGGAAAGATTCAAAAGCTACAAAGAAGACGTGACCAATTGACAGACAGCAATCTAGGTGTCTGGAGTACGTAGAGAATCAGGTGCTGCCTAACTTTTGAATTCAGTCGTTGCC